AACCTCCAAATCCACCACCACCTCCACAACCACCATCCCCACCACCACCAACTCCACCTTCATCACCACCACCACCTCCACTCCATCACTACAACTACCACCACATGATTAGTACATAACACTTTTAACATCATGTCTATTTTAGTCATTATTTACAGTTACAATAATTTTATATTAAAATTTACCAAACGTTTTTACAATGCTTTTTGTACTAACAGCACTTTAAAAATATTGTTTACCAAACATGGAGTTGCTTTACTTTACAGCTAATTATTTTTAAAGCACAGCGGAAGCAACTTTTTTAAAAAGTTACAGCAATCCCAAACTGGGCCTAATAGCCCCATGCGGGACCTAAACCTTTTAGTTGGTGATTAAACGTTAAGAAACAGTTAATACGGCAAGCATAGAGTTGAAGAAATATTATTAATATTATTTGGAAAGCCAGCCAATGGGCAGGGCAGATAGGCCATGAACATTGGTCAGCGCGCAAAGTTTGAATATTGACCAATTCCCGGTCTGACTGACTGTCCGAAGTCCCTCTCTGAGAGAGAGAAGAAGGCGTCTGTCTACTCAATTTTAATTCCTCCACCGAATTATGCATTTCTTCTTGTATTCTTTTATAATTCTAATTATTCCAACTTCTAATAAAAAATTTAAAGCAACAAGGGGCTCCTCTCTCTGGCTGCTGCTTCTATTGGTGGACTTTTACTTTGGTGCCTTTTGGAATTGGGGTTTGATCACTTCATCTATCAAAATCCCAATCCCAATCGAAGAAGCTTATTTTGCTGCTAGTGATTGTGGTGATAATCAGAAGCAGAAAAAATGGGAGGGCTTTGTTCGAAGAAGACGAGGAGTTCGAGTGTGGAGAGCGCGGGTTGGGATGTGAATCGGCAATTTGATCAGAATCAGAATCAGAATTCCCGTTTGAAGACCAACCATGTGAGTGTGACTATGCCGCCGCCCATGGATATTCATTTGCAGAAGAAACACAAAGAGGAGGAGGAGCCGCCTCCGCCTCCACCTCCACAACAAGAAGAAGAAGAAGAACAGTTTTCAGAGAAGAACGACAATCAGAATCCGCTTTTTTATGAGTCTGACGATGAGTTCTATGATGGCATTCCGCGCTATCCCACCTCCTTCTCCCACAAATCCGGCTCCGTTCGCTCTAAGCAGGCCGCCGTCGCTAAGGTTGTTTCTTTCTCCATTTCTGATTCTCTCACAACCCATAGCTTACTTTACTATTCACTTAATATGTGTTGTTGTTATATAAATAAATTGATTGGCTGCTGCACATTTTTGGCATATAGGGGCTCAAATGGGAACTTAATTCCATTATTTCTTAGCTAATAATTCTATTAACTCTCTGTGGAATCACTTAATGTTTTTAGAAAAATTATTGTCATTTTACTTACATATATGTTGTAATGTTAAAAACCCGTAATGGGTTCTCATAAATTTAGTAGAAGAAGCCCTTGTCCTTATATAGCTGTTACAATATTGCAGGTTTCTGAGGTGAGTTCACGTTTGGGCAGAGCTGGTACTCTTGGCCTCGGAAAGGCAGTGCAGGTCTTGGACACACTTGGGAGCAGCATGACAAATTTGAATTCCGGCACCGGCTTCGTTGCTGCAGCACCTGCCAAAGGCAATGAAATCGCAATTATATCGTTTGAGATTGCCAACACTATCGTTAAGGGTTCCAATCTTATGCAATCCCTTTCAAAAAGAAGTATTAGGCATTTGAAAGAAGTGGTGCTTCCTTCAGAAGGTGTGCAGCATTTAGTGTCAGAAGATATGGATGAACTGTTAAGGATTGTTGCAGCTGACAAAAGGTGGATACTGAATCTAGTGCCAAATACTTACCATCTCATTTTGTCCTGCAAATGAGTCAGCTTCAAATGGTTTTTTTTTTCCTTATTCTACCTTATAATAGAACTTTACCCTTGATTTATAGGGAAGAATTACAAATTTTTTCGGGGGAAGTGGTTCGATTTGGAAATCGCTGCAAAGATCCTCAGTGGCACAACTTGGACCGATATTTTGACAAGTAATATACTTGCCTCACATTATCTTTTGTGGCACCTTACTTCTTTTATGGAATGCCATATCCATGAGCCATGTTATTACTTGGTGACATCTAATTTGTTCTACAGAATCAGCAGGCAACTTACTCCTCAGAAGCATCTGAAGGATGATGCATACTCGATAATTCAGCAACTCATGACTTTGGTCCAGTGTACTGCTGTAAGTATTATCTTGTTTCACCAGGACAGTGCAATTTGTATTTCCTTTATGAGATGCAGAATGGAAGTTGATTTGTTGAGTTATTAAAGTTACATACATCACTAGAGCAATCCAATAAATAGAGAAAAATAGTTTGCATTTCTGTAATCGTTTGAATGATTTAATGAGCTATTGATGGAGGGCTTGCTTTGCAAGGAAATGAGCAAATATGCCATTTACAACCTCTTTTCTTTTGTTTTTGGTCTTTGGCTTTGAATTTTGGTTTTGTTTGTTATATTTATATGTTTTTATAAATAATTATAGCTTACTTTACATATGTTTGTAAAATCACTAAATAAAAATGGGAAAAAAAAGATACTGAAAACCAACCAATGTGTTAATTTGAGTAAAGGTGAACCAACTCAAGTAAATGCAACAAGCCAGTCTATGATAATTTACCATGAAAACACTTAACAGGATGCAAGGGAAAACAAAAGTTTGTGAAACAATAAGGGGGCATAGGAGGGCGACTTGATCTAAGAAGGAGAGCCTTTGCATGCTTGTCTTCACATTGGGGTGTGTCATGTAAATAGGAGGGTGAGAACGCTGACCATATATTTTACATTGCAGTTTCACTAGGCAATTTTGGCTGTATTTTTAGAGGTTTTGGATTGTTTGGTTGGAAATAAATAAGGGGTTTTTGAGGGTTCGGAGGAGGAAATGGAGTAACTTTGGGATGGGGTTAAATTTTTAGCTTTTCATTCAGTTCAGCATTCTAAAGACTTTCCTTTTCGTTTAATTCTATTTCATTTGGGGGAGTTCTGTACCGTGTAATATATTTTTCTTGTTTGAGGATCTTAAGTTATATGTGATTGACCTCTCGCCCATCTTTCACATATATTCCTCTCATTTTATCAGTAAAATGTTGGTTTCTTACAGAGAAAAAAAACATAAATACATGTTGCCCTACTTTCCAAGAAATGTTTATTTCCTTTCTCTTGAAAGATGCTCTTCTTTCATTCAGCCATCTGCAGCTGCTGTCTGGTCAGAAACTAGTTCATCATCACTAGTCATCGTTTGTAAGATGCCACAACCCTTGCACTTAAAGGGGATATTTATGTTTGTTGCCCTGTTGTGAGTGTTGGCTGCTAATAATCTAATTCCTTAAGTTAAGAATCTGATGGTTTGTAACTACCAATTAGCTCAAATTAAGAGAAACAAGTTTTAGATGTTTTTACTCACTAATAGTAAGATATTAGAGCATCTGTAAAGGTCATTTGAGGTATGGGGTTTTTTATTCTAATTAATATATGAGTACTTTAAGAATGTTTCTTCCTTTGCATCCTCAAATACTGTATCCAACACTGAGCTCGGTGTTAAATTTTATGTGATTTGATTTCTGAAAAGCAAAACATCAATATGCTTTAAATGCAGGAATTATACCATGAGTTTCATTCATTGGACCGTTTCGAACAAGACTATGATCGCAAGTGCCAGGAGGAGGATAATTCACTTTCTACTCAAAGAGGTGATGAAATGCTTCCTAGTCTTATCTTTTGGGCGTTTATTTGTTCAGATTGAACTGTAGCAGAACTGACTAGATGTATAGATCATTTTGAGGAGTGAAAATCAGTTAGAAAGGCATTCCAAAATAGTAGAATGCCAAAAATGACAAAATACTGCAAGATATTATAATTAAACCTGAAAAATTAAATTCCCAAAATATTACATTAGAAAAGTAAATTTTATTCTTATAAGCAGCCAAAAATAAGTAAACGTCTTTGTTGGCCCATCGTCATTAAGGTCTTGAACAGAGGTCAAATTTATTTCTTTTCACATATTTTGTTGTCTCCTAGTTCTGTCTTTCCATTTACTTTGAGCCCAAAAGTGACTAGTGGATTTGTTTTCTTTGTATCATGTGCAGTACGTAAAAGAGAGATGAATCTTATACTTGAGACCCTAGATTCTATCACTGTGTGCTACTTTCTGTATGCATGTGAAAGTCATGATTTAGGCTCTGATGAGTGGTCATTGTTTTCAATATTGATTATTGTAGCAAAGTCACTTAAGTAAGGCATATTAATTTTTTAAATGTTTCTGTTCATCTCATAGGTGACTTGAGGGCAGAACTAAAAAGCCAAAGGAAAGTAGTTAAAACTTTAAAGAAAAAGTCGCTTTGGTCCAAAAGTTTGGAAGAGGTAACCATGGAAAAACTTCATTTAATTGCTATTTTAGGCACTGATTTTTATTTTGTCTATCTTTAGTTTTCCGTGACCTGTCTTTTCCTGTTATTGCATTTATATTTTGCTGCTTTCCTATTATGCACTGTCTACTATCTTTAAAAGTTTCAATCTGTGCAATGCTCAAATGATATTGATAATTTATCCGTTGGTAATAAATATATATAACAAGGAAAATATGAGTGTACTTCCCAAGATTTTTTTTTTTAAATTTGTCAGAAATGAAAAAATTATTTAGTACTCTAATCCCCAAAGTAGAGAGTATGAGCTGGGCTTAGGCCTTTTGTTTTGTAATTTGTATATGTTTTTATTTTGTTTTTCCTTTATTTAAATTTAAATGTGAAGTATTCTTTCAACAAAAGCTGACATGTGCGGTGCGGCACATGGCTTGATTTAACAAAAATGTCAATAGAAACGGACCTAGGTGATGTGTTGTGACAAAATTCAGAGTTTGGATCTAACAGTCATTTATCTTTTGAGGGTGGAAATTGGGCATACCACATATTTTAGGTGGTATTCATGCAATTTTCCCAAAAGAGTATGACTTATCTGTTAACATTTCTTGTTCTGGGGAGACTCTGTCCCCGCCCTTTTAGGTAAACTCAGATATACTTTGCACCATAAATTTTGACTGCTAAATGCATTTCAGAGCATATTACGAATGACAAAAAGTTCTACTAAAGATAGTTGAATAATAAATTGGAAATCTTAGCACATATCCAAAAGAGTATCCAGGGACAAATCTGAGCCACCAAATGAGGCCCAATATTTTAGGCAGTATTATGCAATTTTCCCAGAAGAGTATTGCTTATCTGTTAACATTTCTTTTTCTGGGGAGACTATCTCCCCCCTTTTAGGTAAACGCAGATATACTTTGTACCATAAATTTTGACTGCTAATTGCATTCCAGAGCATAGAGCAAATGAGAAAAAAGCTATACTAAAAGATAGTTGAATGATTATAAATTGGAATCTTAGCACATATCCAAAAATTCCATCTGCCTAAAAAGATCAAATACGTGGCCATTGGGTTTTTGGTTTCATTTTTTTGGCACTGCATTGTTAATATCGCTTTGCCATATGACGTTATTTTTGTTTTTGTTTTTGGTTTTTATTTCACTACTATATTGAGTAAGGAAACAAGGAATAGCATACAAGTAACAGTTTATACTCTGTAAAATCTAACATTTTGAAATACAGGTGATAGAGAAGCTTGTTGATATCGTCCACTTCTTACATCTAGAGATACATGCTGCCTTTGGTGGTGCTGGTATGTATCTGTTAAAGGTCTTAAACTATGCATATAGCCTTGTTACATGATTCATCTTCATCTTTGAACAGTATATTGTTTAAGGCTCCAATAGCATTTCTAAGTACTTTAGCATGTAATTCACGATCATATATAAGATTTAGAGTATTCATATGTAAGAATTGCTACTACTGTGTAATCCCAATTTCTATTTTAGCTTGTTCAGAATACAAATTCCAAGTCCGGTATGTCAATCCTGCACCACAATATACAATATCCTGGCTTGCCAATTGGTTTTGGTTGGATGCTCTTAGCTTTAAATGTTAGACCATGTTTGGCCACACATGCGTGCACCACATCACCTGATATAGTTGATCCATGTGTTTGGTTCAGCCAGGCCGTATGTGAGGAGGCGTGCTGAGAATATAAATCTCACATTGAGTATTTCAAGCCTTGCACCACAAGACATAATATCCTGAGCATCTCCACCCATTTCCAATTGGTTTTGCGTTGCATGCTCTAACTTTAACATAGCTTTTGCCACATTTTGCTAGGTTATTATGATATGTTGTTTTTGGAAGTTTGTATTTTCTTAAAATTGCAAGTCTATTAATCCTTGTTTCATACTGTTTGTCTCAGAAGTACATTGATAGAGATGGCAATAATTCTCATTTACATATGCAGATGGTCATGAACCAGTGGAGGGACCTACGAATAATTATCAAAGATTGGGACCAGCTGGACTTTCTTTACATTATGCAAATATCGTCCTCCAAATCGATAGTCTTGTGAGTTACTATCTCTCTTCTCTTTTCTCGTTGTGCATTTTACATAATATTAATGAAAATATGAAGTTATACTGTTGCAACAGTTACTCTGGTTGTTTTGACGTATTCTAATTCAACCTGAGGGCATTTAAATTAACAAGGAACAATGTTGGGAAAAGGGATGAAATTATTGGTCTTCCCTAAAGCATAAATTTTCTTTACCAGATTTTTTCTGAGTCTGCTTTGGTGCATTTAGGTAGCCCGGTCAAGTTCTATGCCTCCAAATACAAGGGATACATTATACCAGAGCTTGCCGCCTGATATAAAATCATCTTTACGCTCCAAATTACAGTCTTTTCATGTTAAAGAAGAGGTAATATTTCATTTGTGTAGCTTTAGCTATATACATAATATATTCCTAAGGAAATGTTCTCTTGCCAGAATGTGAATTTGGACCATTGATCAGGTTGGTTCTTGTTTGAATGTTCAAATTTGGTAACTGAAGTATTTATATGCAAGAGAACATTACCCTATAGTCCTATATATCGTTTCATAGTACGACCTAGAATGTGAATTACAGACTTTTGATTGTTGCGGACGGGCTGTGTACTTTGGGTTTTGTGGCAAAACATTCTTTGAAGAGAATTTGTATCCACTAAACTGTTCGACTAAATTGTTTTCTGCAGCTCACTATTGCAGAAATCAAAGCTGAAATGGAGAAAACTTTACAGTGGCTTGTTCCAGTTGCTACAAACACAGCCAAGTAAGATGGCCAGCTGTTCTGCAAAACACCTGTATCTTTTTGTGTTTGTGAAACTCTTTTGCAGCTGTAGTTTATAAATTTCTTTGTTATTGATCATCATTTTGTTGATTTGGTTAACTAATAACAGAGCTCATCACGGTTTTGGCTGGGTAGGAGAGTGGGCGAGTAGTGGGTGAGTAACATTATACTGCTTGTTTCTTACTTTGACTTTTATCATTTGTCCTGTATTCCTTTTTTTTTTCTTTTGGGTTTTTTGATGGTTTTTACTGTTCTTTTAGTTAACCATGTTTTCGGTTATGCAGTTCTGGGGCGAACCGAAAGGCAGCTTTGCAGACTGATGTGATTCGAATTGAGACATTCCACCATGCAAATAAGGAGAAAACAGAAGTCTGTATACTCAAACTAGTCTTGTGGCTTCACCATTTGGCTTGTAAAAGTAAGTCTGCCGCCAATAATGGGGGCATGAGGTCACCCGTCAAGTCCACATCTGGCACACCCCTCCCGAAGGCAAATAAGCAGCCCAAGGACTTGCCTATCAATGTTCAGTCAAGTGTGCTAACAACTGAAGATCAGGAGATGCTGCAGGATGTCAGTAAAAGAATACGGATTCCAGGAATTAGTAAGAGTCAGGACTTTGACACTGTGAACTCTAGTTTGATGGAGCACAACAGATTGAGTAGGAGTAACAGCTACTCACCTAGGCGAGGAAGCAGGAAATTGTTATCCTTCAGTAGGCTCTCGTCTGGGGTTCCTGTCATTGATTTCAGTATCGATAAGGAAAAAGCATTGGATGTAATTGATAGAGTGGACTCACATAGATGAATTGCAGAGTGTTATAGATGTAAATCCACTGGAGTGAAGTGTAGTACATGCGGCAAGGGCGTTCATTTTGGTGATATATTGTTTCTGGGTGCACGGCATCGAATTAAATGGACTAAGCATGATTTACCTTTGAAATTGTACCACTTCAAGAGACATTTACTGTGCATATTTTCACCATGCTTATAGAGTGTAATTGCAGTGAGTTGTTTGTGACTACTTTCCTCGATGGGGTGTATAGAGCTGAAGAAGGTTAAGTTTGCGCAAACTACACGTTCATCGTTTGTAAGTTTTATTTCATCATTTATTTATATGAATTATTTACACTAACATCCCTTGAGGTTTCTTGTGTTTTCACGAAACCCCATCAGGTCTCAAAAATTATACGAATACCCTCTTGAAGTTTCAGTTTGTTTTCACAAAATCCATTTTCGTTGATTGTTTGTCCAAAAATTGATTTAATTGAAAACAACTTATGCAACTGACAAAATTAACCTTAATGAAGTATATGCAATCTAATCTCAAAGGCCAACTTTATCATTTGGAGAATTTTTTTTATATAAAATCATCAATCTTTAGATAAAAAATCAATGAAAAAGTGTTTTGTGAATATAATTTAAAATCTCATGGAGGTGTTCGTGTAATTTCTAAAACCTCAGGTATTTTTTGAAAAAGCTGAAAATCTCAAGGGGAATTAGTGTAAATCTCTATTGTGCATACCTTACATGTACGTGTGACATATTGCACTAGTGGATGCTGTTTTTTCCTCTCTTTTAATTTACTCATAAATTAGGAAAATAGTTTTTCTATTCAAACCCAAAAATCATTCGAGTTAACCCAACAATACTTTTTTAAATCTTTGAAATCCAATTATACCCTTACCCAAAAAATTACGAGGGAAAAAAAATACGCGCGCACGTGACACACAAACCCAGCAAGCCAAATATGATGCAAAGAGTGTGAATTGGATGATGGAACACCTGAGGAATAACAAACCCCCCACACCCAAATATTGGATCATTGGCCATGGAAGAAGTAACTCTAGGGCGAAGTTTCAAGGACTTTTCATTTATTATTATTATTATTTTATTTTAATTAATTATAATTTTAAAATTAAGAGAAATATGGATCATATGCCAAGCATGTGATTTTTTGAATAGAAAAATTGGATGAAATTTGAAAAAATTAACGGCAAAAGTCAAATTGGTTGTTTTGATAAATAAATGTGATAAATTTGTTGATTTTTTAAGTCGGAGGTATTTCAGCAATTTCCTCTATTGGAGGAAGACAAATTCTTTTTTTGTTTTTTGTTTTGTTTTTGAAATAGATGCTTTATTAAAAAATAATAAACACCATAAGAGTGTACAAAGATAGTACCAAAACAACCAATATTATCCAAAACCCATGAGAGATAGAAACAAATGCGTGATCTTTTAAAAAAAGACTCGTGCCTGAACAACTCAAGGGGAAACAAGAAAGAATAGGAAGCCTATACATCCCTTCAATCTGCACATCAACAAAACATTGGCAGCAACAGAAACTTGCAACCAAATGAGCATTGCCAGCGTCAACATGGATCTGAAACAGAAGAAAAACAAAATAAATACGAGTAGGGAAAAAAAACAAAAGACACTTGGGCTCATTACACAATAAATCAAATGAAGGAATACTAAGAAAGAAAAACAACTCTCTGGGCTAAAGAAGGACATGGCCGTGAAAACCAACAACTCGAACACAATTGCAAAATTCAGCAACGAAATCAACGACATGCGATAGCCACGGGACGAAAGAGAGAAAAAAGAGAAGTAGAGAGAAACAAACAAGGAGGAAAAAACAAACCAAAAAGATAAAGGAAAAAGAGAGGATAGAAAACAGAGAAGGAAAAAGGAGAGAGAAGAAAAAGAACGAAAAGAAAAACAGAGAAGGAAGAAGGAGAGAAAGGAAAAAGAAAAAAGAGAAAGAAACAGAGAAAAGGGACAGGAGAAATAGGAAGAAGAAAAGAAGAGAAGAAGGAGACGGAAGAATACAAAAAGAGAAAGAAGAAGAAGGAAGGAGAAAAGAAAAGAAAAGAGAAAAAGAGAAAGAAAGAGAGAAAAGTGACCCGAGAAAAAGGAAAAAGTAGAGGAAAGATCAGTGTTATTAAACATGTAAACTAACGATTGTATCTATGCACAAACAACTGCTCCAAGACCGATCATGCTTTTGTACAACAGCCACACCACTTCTTGGAGAAATGCCACCAAAAAAGAACATAACAAAACCAATCGACAGTAGAACTATGACAGACCAAAAATTGCGTAACAGCACAACAAGATGGAACAATTGTCTATACCAACAAAACGAACCCAAACATCAGGGATAATAAACCCATTAAGGGCAATCTTCAGAAACAACAATCAAAAGTTCATTTAAAAAGATTTTTCACTCCTTGACTAAGCAATTGCCACCCAACGAATTGTATCCTTGCACAATAAAACTGGCAATAACTGCTCTGATTGATCATACTTTGTGCTAAAACCACACCACTTCTTGTTAAGATTTGTTTTTAAATTATTTATTTAATAATCGTTGTTGCCTATTGTTAGGAGATTAGTGATACCTAGACTATAGGAGAATCCCTATATTGTAGGAGTCATGGTTAGTATGGGTAACCATGTTTATTTTCATGCTTTTAATCGTGGATTGTGGCTACACAAAATCTGCTAAGTAACGATCATGTTACTTGCAGCAGTAGCTTTGTTTTTCCTATTTAAGGTGTACTCTTACATTCAGTTCAATTTATCAAGTTTGAAGCTTTCAGCCATAGCTTTTGTGTTCAACGTTTAAGCAAGAAAATACTCTTAGAGTTTTGGTTTTATCCAACATCTGGTATCAGAGTCTTACTGGGCCTGACTTTAAAAATCCCAAACAGCAACAACTTCTTGTATCTTGCAGCGGCAGGAATCCATGGCGACTGACAAGCTAACAGAGACCTTTGTCTAGCCAGCCATACCTTGCTTTGATGGTCACTATGGTCATTAGAGCATGTTGATGGAGAATTTCCTAAGGTCTAAAGAATATTGGGATCTTGTGGAGACAGGATATGAAGTGCTAGAAGAAGGAGCACTACTGACACAACAACAATAGAAGAAACTTGATGATCATAGGCTGAAAGATTTAAAGGTAAAGAATTATTTCTTCCAGGCTATTGATCGTGCTATTTGGAAACTATTCTCCAAAAGGATACAGCCAAAAACATATGGGAATCTATGAAGAAAAAGTACCAAGGGTCGGCAAGGGTGAAGCGTGCATAGCTTCAAGCTTTGAGAAAAGACTTCGAGATTCTTCAGATGAAAGGATGAGAGTCTATTATTGATTACTTTGGAAGAGCAATGAGAGTTGCAAACAAGATGAGAATCCATGGTGACAAGCTTGATGATGTGGCCATTATTGAGAAGATACTGAGATCTATCGCTCCCAAGTTCGATTATGTTGTGTGCCTATTGAAGAGTCCAATAATATTGACGAGATGACAATAGATGAGCTGCAAAGCTCCTTGCTGGTCCATGAGCAAAGGATAAACCGAGGCACCTCAAATGAGCAAGCTTTGAAAGCTTCTACCTTTGCTGAATCCTCAGGTTCAAGAGGAAGAGGTCGAGGCAAAGGTAGAGGTTGAGGTCGAGGAAGTGGAGGTCGAGGAAACAGAGATGAAGACGGAGGTCGAGGCAACAAAGATGAAGGTAGATCTTCTCAGAAGTAAAAGAGGGATGATGAGCATTCCCAAAACAGAGGAAGAGGACAAAGTGACAAGTCCAAAATTGAGTGTTATAGGTGTGGAAACCTTGGGCACTATCGAAGTGAGTGCTACACGAAGTTGCCCAAAGACAAAGAAAAACGAGGAAGATCAAACTTTGCTGAAAAGAAGGAAGAAGAAACACTTTTGATGGCCTTCAATGCCAAGGAGGAACCAGAGCTAGATGTATAGTATGTTGACACATGTTGTAGCAACCATATGAGTGGTAGTAAGTCTTTCGTACTACTGTAAGTTTTGGGGATTGTTCAACTGTTACTATGGAAAGGGTGATATTCAAATTAGGGCTAAAAATGACTTTGTTGAGACAATTTCGAATGTGTTTTATGTTCCTGATTTGAAGACTACCCTGTTGAGTGTTGGCCAATTACAAGATAAGGGTTATGTTATAACAATTCAAAAAGGTGCGTGTGAAATATATGATCCAGGAAGAGGTGCCATTGCCGTTGTTCAAATGAAAATGATAAGTGCATTATTTCCCATATTTTTATACCTCTTATATTTGGTTTTTATAGGGAAATTTAATTAAAAATAGCATTATTACCTTACTTTCCTTATTTTTAGCTATTCTGTGCTCTTGGAAGGATTTCGACTGAAAATTGACTTTTCGAATGAATTTTGTGCAAGGCCAATTGGAGAAGAAAGCTAAGACATTGACAATCATTGTGTCAAAGTTTTATAATTTTCTACCAAGCCAAATGCTCCAGACTTGCAAGTCAAGACAACCTAAGTTGAAATCCAGTCAGAACTGCAATGCTGTTGAAGATTGAAGATTTGAATACTTTTCTGATTTTTCCTAGTGGCATGTGATATATGCTTGGAAAGCTTAAAGATCAAGCTATATTTCTCATATTTTTCCAGAATTTTCTAGTAAGTGGAAAGACCCCAAAAGCATCCCGAGGGAGAAGCAAGTCCTAAGGGAGTACTCTGCTCTTCTTCCAGTGACTGCATGTTTGGTGCTGATGTTTCCAATAGCTTGATGAAGAGTTGAAGATGACTTGCTGATGTTGATATGAGATTATATGAGCTTGGCATGAGAGCTTCACTACTACATTTTACAGTTTGCGTGATGAAGAAACTGTCGTCGCGCAAAGTGAAGTTAAGTCGCACAAATGTCAGCGCGACAAAAATATCGTTGGGCGTACTCCGTCGCGCAACGATCGTGAAGAAAGACTTTGCGCGACCAATCTATGTAAATAGTCGCGCAAAAAGAGCGACGGTTATCCTTCGTTGCACCAAAAGTTCCGGGACGCCAAAATCTTTCGTCGCGCAAATATTGGAGCGACAAAAGAATAGTTGTTGCAAGAACATAGTGTGATGATTTATCTTCATCGCGCATACATGTAGGGACGAGAGAATATTCATGACTCAAATCTTTGCGCGACGAAATTCATTTGTCGCAGTTTCTTTAGCGAGACAAAAACTTTCGTTGCGCAAACATAGAATAAATTGTTTTAAAATTTATTTTTACGATTTTGTATTTTGTAAAAAGTGAATTTGCGCGATGGAAAATTTGTTGTCGCGCAAAAATAAATATATTTTAATTAAATTAAATTTTTTTTTTTTTTGGTAACAAAAATTTTTTTTGGTTTTTTTATATTTATAATAAAATGAAATTGCAATAAAAAAATGTAATGAAGAGAAATATTTTTGTTATAACATAATATAAATGTGTAGTACAATAGAAATATTTTAAATGTAATTAAGAAAGTTAAAAACTAATCAAACATCCCTCCAAAATCTACGTTGTCGTCTGGCAAATGCGGCTCAAAGGTCTGGACATTGTCGACAGGGGGAGAGGTGTGGTGGCCATGCTTGGGTTGGCGGGGCTCGGAGGTCGATGAGGGAGGAAAAGGCGGGATTGGAATGCCGGACTGAGCGAGGGACTGTAGAAGATGTGACAAATGACCCCTGAGCTCGGCCACCTCTGCTGTCAAAGCAGTCACCTGACTGTTTGACTGCGACGATTCACGGGGTTTAGGTGGCCGCCGCCGGGCATTCCCCATCCCTCGACAATGTCCCTGGGCACCTCCCGAGAGTTTGATCCAAGGTTTCAGTCAGGAATTGAAACCCCGCATCCTGTGGAGGAGCCACGGACTCGAGCGGCGTATCAGGAGGAAGCTGGGAGGCGAACTCCTGAAGAATCAACTGGCTCTTCTCCATCATCGTCGTCTGTTGAACATAACATAAAATATTAATTAAAACATTCATATAATAACCATGAAACTTGAATGCGTAAGATAGTAATTAAAATTAAATACTACTTACATGAAGGGACTCGGCCAACTCATTCCCAAGTCGAACATAAACGTCGCCAAAGACATCAATCTCAGGGAATTTGGACCCCCCTGAATTGATCAAGAGAAGAAAAATGTTAGTACGAAAAAAACAAATTAATATTAATGACATATTAAAAATAAATAAAAACGACTTTATTATTACCCGGTGCCGTGCCTCCATCCTAAAGGAGAAGGGCCTGGAACCTGAATGGTGGAGAAGAGTCTTCCTCTCCTTATTGCCCTTATTTGCTTTGGTCTTCTTCTGTTATACAAAAAATAAAACGTATTAGTTGAAATTCAAATGAAATATAAAAAATTAAATACACATTAGTAAGAAACGTGTAATAAGTTTCAACTTAATATAAAAAAATACCACATAATCGGCCTCTTGAAAATGACCGCAGAGCCACTCCCAACTATCCTCCTGCCCCTCAAGCTCCTTTGGGCAACCCTCCTGAAGAGCAACCTGCGGATCATCATATGCCTGAAAATGGTGGTGCAGGTTGCTCTTCCACTGCTTGTACCTCTCAGCAAAGAGTCTGTTGACGTACGCCAACAACTCGTCACCGACATTCTCTAAATTGTAGTTTATCTGCAATAAATTCATTACATACATTAAGTATTAGAAATAAAATTTGAAGGGAAAACAATTAAAAGGTATAGAATACATACCGACAGCTGTCCGCACACCTCCATCCGCACCTCGTCAAGCATGACCTTCCAAGACTTCCATTTCATCGGGCAATAAGTCCGAACGACGTGCCCAATGTCGTGGGCCAAGGAGCTATGCTGGTCCGCCGTTGGTGCAACTCGATGCCACTCGTCGTATCCGATGTTGATACGATTGTTGGTCACTTAGGTGACCTTCGCCGTCTTCAACTGGCGACAAGGTCCCCGGGTGTTCTTCTTGGTTACAAAGAAATATAAAATTAATGTTAAATAACAAATCCTACTAAATTCTTGGTCCGAAATAGCTGGAGTTGAAGGAAATCTTTACCTAGTTGTGACCCTGACACACCAGTAGCAGATGTCGAAGTGGTGTCGGTCGTGCTGGGGGGGCGGTGACACTGCCTGGCACTAACAGGTTGCGCCACTAATGACTTTGATGACACCGGCGCATGGGAGACCCCAGGACAAACCTGTATGGCGTCAACTTGTGCTGGAGCAGTGGCAGCTGAGGTCGTAGCCGGGGGAGGCAAACTCTATGCAGTCGTCATCACCGTACGACTTCTAGTAAGGTTTGACATCTGCACAATTGAACAAGCATCCAAAGTTAAAAACATAGTTACTCTAATATGTGGTCTAAAACCATTTAAACATGTATTGAAATATTTTTTAAATGGAGCCAACGACTAATAAAATAAACATAAAAAGCCCAACAACTAATAAAACAAAAAAAAAATAAAATCCAATTTACCAACTAAGCATATACAATTTCATTAAGATTCTTAATTCATTAAGTAAATCATATCTTGTCCTAGGGTTCGCGATTTCGGAGTATCCGGGATAACGATCCACGATCCGGCGAATCCTATACGATCCTAGAAATACAAGGTACAACATACGTGAGTTTAGGATCGATCCAACAGTCCGAACATATCAAACCTGGAAATCGCACAATAGGCGAAATCCGTTTGAGGCTCAAATGATATCCAAATTGGAATTCGAACATACCTATGCGCTCATTACAACTAGGGGATCACATCGGGACACATTTCTGGTTTCCTACAGTACCCACGCGCCGGCGCGCGGGTGTCTAAAGCGATAACCATCGCCAGAAAAATCTCAAAATCATGGGCCAATCTTCCTACCCTAGGTTCAGGACATCGATTAGAGCCACTTTTGTTCTTGGACATAGGCCAAAAAAGGGCCGGAAGTGGCTGGAATTTCATCCCGAAATCTGGTAAAACTTTGGGTTGTTCAATTTAACAACCTACACTAGCAATTCATCAAATCCTAACCAACCATCAACTAGAGCATGAAAAGAAGAGTGGAATCCATACCTCAATCGTCAGATTTGGTGGCCAGAAGAGGGAGCACGCGCCTGAAGAAACAATGGCAAAACCGGTCAAAATCCGGTCGACAACGGCGGGGAAGGGCTGGGGTTCGAAGGTGGTGGCGGCCCGGTCTAAAAATTGGGTCGGTTTCGCAGGTTGAGGTGGTTGGAGGTTAAGGAGGGAGGGACGGAGAGAGAGGAACCATATTGCTGAAGAAAACGACTCTGCAAGTTTTAGAAAATTTTTCGCGAACTTGCGCGACGTAGAATATATTGCGTCGCACAATGTCAAAGTGGCGTCGTTTCCAAATATTTTTTTTGCAAACTTGGGCGGCGACGAAACAAAACCGTCGCGCAAGGAAATCCTGCGCGACCTAAGCGATAAACCGGTGTCACGCAATGTGATAATTCTGCCAAATTTTTCGCAACCTTGTGCGACGACTAATAAATTGTCGCGCAAGGTGACAAACCTGCCAGATTTTCACCCCATTCCACCAAAATTTTCACAGCCTTGCGTGATGTGAAAAAATCTGGCGTCGCGCAAACCCTAAACCCTAAACCCAGAAAATCGTAACATTGCACGACGACATAGTGCGTCTACCAATATTTTGTGCGATGTAGTATAACTTGGCGTTGCACAAAGTAATGTTGCGCGACGAAAGGATGTGTCTCGCAAAAGTTTTCGTTTATAACGGTTGAAATTTTTTGTCCCGTTACTAGATCTCCGAATGTTTGTTTTTTGTAATTTTTGGGGTATACGATCTCGTAGTATATACAAACAAGTTTGACGGTTGGATCGTTGAAAATAGTTTCGTAGAATGCATATGCCATCAAAACAATATATTCACTAACAATTAAGAGTTTATTTATACTTTAGTTAAATATAACGTAAGATTTTGTGGTTTCCACTAGTGTAAATATTTTAAATTGAAGATCAAATTCAGTCATTTTATTCATATAGGGTCAAGGAGTGTAGCTGTAAAAAATCATCAAAATCAGAGTTGAAATAACCGTTAAATTGTGATTTTTCGTTTATAACCATCGAAATGTTTTGTCCCTTTACTTGATATCTAAATGGTTATTTTTTCTGATTTTTGGCGTATATGATCTCGAAGTATAAACAAACAAGTTTGATGGTGGGATCCTTGAAACTAGTTTCTTAGAATGCGTATGCAATCAAAACAATATATTCACTAACAATTAAGAGTTTATTTATACTTTTGTTATATATAACGTAAGATTTTGTGGTATTAACTAGTGTAAATCTTTTAAATTAAAGATCAAATTCAGTCATTGTATTCATATAGGGTCAAGGAATGTAACTGTAAAAAATCATCAAAATCGGAGTTAAAATAACCGTTAAATCGTGATTTTTCATTTATAATCATTGAAAAGTCTTGTCCCGTTACTAGATCTATGAATGTTTGTTTTTTGCGATTTTTGGGGAATACGATCTCGCAGTATATACAAACAAATTTGACGGCTAGATCGTTGAAACTAGTTTCGTAGAATGCATATGCCATCAAAACAAATATATTGACTAACAATTAAGAAATACAAACACATTATATAATATATAAATACTAATACTTTACGCGACGAAGAAAAATTCAATGGGCGACGAACCAACACTGTTTGTGCGACGACAATATTTGATTCGTTGCGCAAGGGTCAGTTATGTTATTTCAGAATTTTTTGCAGATTTTTTTCGGAAAACAACACTTGCGAGACGAATATGATTAGTCGCGCGAACACTCATTGTGCGATGCAAGTAGTTTATTCGTCGTGCAAGGGTCATTTATATTATTTCAGAATTTTTTGTGGATTTTTTCGGAAAACAACCTTTGCGAGACGAATGTTATTAGTCGCGCAAACATTCATTGTGTGACGCCTATTCTTTTGTCGTCGTGCAAGTTTCATTTATATTATTTCAGAATTTTGTGCAGGTTTTTTCGGAAAACAACCCTTGCCTGACGAACTGTATTGGTCGCGCTAACATACATAGTGCGACGACAGGTGATTTTTCGTCTTGCAAGAGACTTTTTTTTTAAAATTATTTGAGAATAATTTTCCAGAAGTTTTCGGAATCTTTCCCATTCGTTGCGCGACGAAGATTTGTTTAAGTTCATCGCGCAAAGTTGTTAAAAAAATATGAGTTCTGCGAAGAGAAGTATTGTTGAAGGCTTGAAGTTTTTAAAGCTTTGTGATGTGTTTCAAAGCTTTAAGTTGTGTTTTAAAGTTGAAGGAACAAATCTGTAGTTTCAGAATGTATTTTTTTGCATTTATTTTGTTTCTATCTGCTCTCTCCCAGCTAGAAAAATAAGGGTTTTGTTCTGTTTCTGTTCTCTCGCGACACTAGATGTAGTTGGATTTAAACTATTTCGTTGCTCAAACTTTCGTCGCCCGAAACAAAAATTTGACATGTTTCTCATTTTCATTTTTTGAAAATGTTCTTTGAAGAAAATTAAAACAAAATATTGCCAAAAGGGTCATGGCTTTAGGATTTCAATGAAAGTATGAGTAAGCCTATGTCCACTCATATTTTAGGATTTAAATGAAGGTATAATTCGCATTTGCGTCATAATTAAATTTAACATAATTTAATTAAAAAGGTATGAATGAGCTTAACTAAAATCATTGAAAAGCTTATAATTTACATGGCAAAATTCAAATGAAGGCATAGGAACAAATGGAAATTAGAATGTGAAAATATGAATAGGCATAGGCTTCTTAAGGACTACATTGAACTTCTCAGTAAATATAGCTCAATTTATTTAACAATGTTTCATTTCTCCACATATATAAGGTTTGAATATAGCAAGTACATATATTCAAACAAGCATACTTGCCAAAATCTTTACACTAACATTATTAAATTACAAATAATTTCATTTACTATGTTTTACATGGCAAGTCGCAAATAAATTACATTATTCATCATCTGAACTATAATAATCTTCGTTATCGTCGCTATCATCACTTTCGGTCTCCCAATCATCATCATCATCCTCCTCCTCCTCCTCCTCCATAAGTACATCATCATCGTTGTTCGGGCCCACGGTTGGATCATATCGCGGAAGATAACCGAGGTCAATTGTAATTGACTGAATCGGTATTTCTCTTGAAGACACTCCTTCAAGCTGAAACGGTTCTTGTACAACATTTGTATCTAGAAGTGTTTGAGCATCATTTTCCATGGAAGATTCGAAACGTTGGTCAGTGACGTCGACGTTGTTGTCAGATGGGTCTAGTTCTGGTATAGCATACATGTTCCTCTTATCCATCTGCTAAACAACTTTACAGCGGCTCCCGGCTTTAGGGTCATCTAGATACACAATTTGTTTTGCCATGTTTGCCAAAATGTAAGGGTCGTCATCATACCAAGTTCTGTTCATGTTCATAGATAGTAAGCCATGGTTGATTTTAATACTTCCCTGCCTATTTGGGTTCGTATCAAACCATCGACACTTAAACTTGATCACTTAGTATCAGTCTTTGTAAAGCAATTGCACGACAGTTGTAAGTTTGTCATAGAAATCAATGTCCGTACTTTCACCTCCACCTGGGACATGGACACCGCTGTTTTGTGTACACAACTTGTCATCTTGTGTAGTCCCCAAAAACTTGACGCTGTTAACATGGCAACCCGAGAACAATTCAGTGCGAATTGGGCCGAATGCCAAGTTATATAACTCTTCACTGTAAGTGGGAGAATTCTCTGATTTCAACTTATTCACCTAATATTATACAAAAACATTCACATGTTAGTTTGAGAAGCATAAATACTACAATATATATGTCAAATACAAAACACTTATAACTTACATATTCCAAAAATCATTGTGGAAACAATTGACGGTGTTTCTTGGAATACAAATGTGATGGATGTTCTCGCTTCATCATCTCTTCATGCTCATCTAAGTATGCAATTATTTCATCACAATTGTTCAGTACGAACCAATGGGCTACCTCCATGTCATTTCTGGAAAACGACTCTCCTCATACATGATCTCCAAAGGGTCGTGGGCTTTGGGCAAAAATAGAAAGTTTCTCATTTCTCACACCTCCGTCATTATTGCACTGAGGACGATTGAAAGTCGTGTCCACATCTTTTAAATACATTCCACAGAAAGTAAGCGCCTCATATTGAACCCAAGCCTCTATAATTGATCCTTCGGGCTTCGCTCTGTTGCATACGCTTTTTTTCAGATCTCCGAGAAGCCTGCCAAAATAAAACAATACGATACATCCAACGATAGTACACAAATGATGAGGATTATATACCTTTCTATTGGATACATCCAACGATAGTTGACTGGACCTGCAAGCAATGCCTCTTCTGGCAAGTGAACCATCACATGAATCATACTTGTGAAGAAAGCTGGAGGGAATATCATCTCAAACTTGCATAGGACTTGGACAATGTCATGGCGCAACTGATGAATGTCTGTCTTTCGCAATGTTTTTGCCGTCAGTTGGGAAAAAAATCTGGACAACAAAATGATTGGCTTGACTATATCTTCCGGTAATAGGTGTCGAATCCCCATAGGAAGTAGGCGTTGCATAAACACATGGCAGTCATGGCTCTTTAGTCCAGTAAATTTACCCCCATCAACATTCACGCAACGTGCGATATTAGAAGCATACCCTTCAGGAAACTTTACAGACGATAGAAACTTTAGAAACTCATTTTTATCATTTGGTTTCATGGAAAAAAATGCAAGATCCCTTGTTGCTTTGTCACTGTCCCTTTTCATCCATAAACCCCTTCGTATGTCTATTCTTTCCAAATCAAGACGAGCTTTGATCATGTCGGTTGTCTTGCCCACGATATCTAGAATCATGCCTATCAATGTGTTACATACATTTTTCTCAACATGCATAACGTCGAGATTGTGCCTCAATTTTAGTTTCGACCAATATGGGAGCTCAAACAACATAGGCTTGTGCATCCAGTTCAGATGTGTAGCAGGTCTGGTTCGACTAACTGTTTTCCCGAACGGAGCAAAATCCAAACGGTTAAGATGTTCCAATATCTCATCACTGGACCATTCTCTAGGTCTGAGGCGACGCTCTGTGTTCCCGTCAAACTCTTTATCCTTTTCCCGTCACTTGTGGTCCCATGGCAACCATCTCAGATGACTAAGGTAACAAATTTTTCCAGTGTGCCAACCAGAAGTTACATCTTCCTTGCATACAGGGCATGCCATATAACCCTTTATGCTCCTCCCAGAAACCATAGTACATGCTGGAAAATCATTCACAGTTCACATAACTACTGCTTGCAAAGTGAACATATTCCCAGTGGATTTATCGTACGTGCGCACACCGTTTGTCTATAAATCCTTGAGCTCATCAACCAATGGCCCTAAGTAAACATCGATGGACCTGCCAGGATCCTCAGTTATCAAAATAGTCATCATCATGTATTCCTTTTTCAGGCATTCCCAAGGCGGTAAATTATATGGGAATATGAAAATCGGCCAAATGCTGTGGTGTTGGTTTAGAACCCCGTACGGATTGAATCCGTCAGTGGCAAGTCCCAATCTAACATTTCGGGGATCAGCAGCAAACTCAGGGAACGTTCGATCGAACTCTTTCCATGCCTCCCCATTTGTAGGATGCCGCATCACATCGTCGTCTACCCGTTTTTCCTTATGTGATCTCATGTTTGTGGCAGTATGCGTCGACATATACAATCACTGCAACCAAGGTTTCAGGGGCAAATAACGCATGACTTTTTGTGGGATCTTAGTTATTATATTCTGAGATGTCATTTTGAACCTCGACTCATTGTATATAGGGCATGTATCCAATGTTTCATACTCATTGTAAAATAACATGCAATTGTTTTTGCAAGCGTGAATTTTTTCATAACCCAATCTAAGACCATTCAACACCTTCTGTGCCCGTCTATGGTCTTTCGGCAAACAATTGTCAGTCGGAAACATTCTCTTGAAAACCCCCAAAAAGTAATCGAAACACAGGTTCGACATACGATACTTTATTTTTCTGTGCATTAGCTCCACAATGGCTGTCAAAACGGAAAAGCTATCGCACCCCGGGTATAACTCTTGGTTGGCATTTTTCAACAGTTTTTCAAATTGTGCGAACTCTGCACTGTCCATTGGTGTAGGCACGTCATCTTCCCCTTCCTGATTGCCGCTGGTCGATGCAAATGGAAAAGCATCATTTATAATATCCATGACTTGTTCATTAGAATTCACAATAGGTTCAACATTCTCCACTCTTGTGGCCCTTGAAGACGAAACAATGTCTAATTATTCCCCGTGATGGTTCCAAGTGTTGTATGTCTCAATCATTCCATGCCTTACTAAATGAAATCGAACATTTTTAATTGTATCTCACAACGTGTTGTTACACCTCTTACAAGGACACTGGATTATAGTTGCACCCGGGTTGTGTGTCCGTGCAAAGTCAATAAAATCCTCGATTCCATCCAACTATTCGTCTGCGCACCTTTTCGGGTTCTGTATCCACATCCTACTCATAATTCCTGGAACCACAATCACAATACAAAAATCATGTTGTATTCTTACAAAATCTTTCCTTATGCCTCCGATAAGGGCCCTATCCCATTTGGGAATGCATAGTCATCTCACGTAATTTACAGCCACATGAGATTAGATTTCAATGTGGATGAATTTCGGTAGCATCTCGATACAGTTCTTGAGGTGTACCGTAGGTATAAAATACCTATACACCACCCGAAGAACGTACCAAGATGACACCGAAATCTCCACAATCGAAACCTAATCTTGTAGCCGTAAATTACGTGACATGACTATACATTCACAAACTGTCCAAATAATGGGACAATTCAAGAATTAATTGGACCGCAGTCACGCTTTACGCATCCATGCGCGAAATCCAACTAACCTCGAACGGGAAACTAAGTTTTACTAAAAAAAAATAAAAATGTCAACGTGTATAATTTAACAACATAATATAAATATAATTTTACAAAACAATTTAAACATAATGTAATTAATTATATATTTTTAAATTATAAAACGACGAAAATACATTCTCAATCGTTCTCCACCAATCGTTAATCACATATAATATCCATATTCACAACGAAATTAATGGTGTTAGTATAAATTTACATTAATACTTTTACACTAACGAAAAAAAATACATACCCAACGAACGTAGCAGAGGTAGAGGGAATTCCATGCATAAAGGAAATGAACTTGAGAAGTTTGGTTGCCCAAAAACGTTCGAGACAGAGGGAGAGGCAAGCTGCAATTTTTTTTTGCAGTTTGCCTCTGCCATGACTGAGCATGATAATGTATTGGGCGAAGGTTTTTGAGCGACGACGCGACGAACATAACTTCGTCGCGCTAAGTCTCCATGTTGTCGCGCAAAAATCAATAAATTTGCGCGACGAAATTTTTATGTCGTCACGCAAGACGTTGTTGTGCAAATCTCTTTACCGTCGCGCAACAGTTAATTTTTCGGCACGCATGGATGTGCCAACATCCATTTTTGCGCGACGAATATTTTTTGTTCGTCGCTCAAAGTTTCGTCGCGCAAACTCCATCTTGTCATCGCGCGAGTATTTGGCGCATAAATTGTTTGTCGCGCAAGTATTTGGCGCCAAATACAATAAAGCCGGGTCCTTTTTCCGGCTTTTTGTTTGCGCGACGAAAGGTTTCATCGGCGCGCTAGCTAACTAGTTGCGACCAAAATCCTCGTCGCGCAATATTTACCCCCAAATAAACTAGCACCGTGTTTTTATTCTTAACTTTACACGAGCTAATGTACTGTTGTAGCGCTACGTATGTTTGTGCGACGATAATTGTTGTCGCACAAATTTTTGACGCCGAAATGCTGGTTCGCGGGTTTTTTTCCTACCTTCATGCGACGCTATGTGCTATTGTTTCACAAAGTATTTTTGCGCGACGAAATAATTTGGTCGTGCAGTTTTGTGCTACGCGTATTTATTTCCATTGTGCAAGTGTATTTTAAGCAAAGAAGTTCTCTTCATCACGCAAAATCTCGTCACGCAAATAGTAAAATGTAGTAGTGCTTGGAGTGTAGGAGCTAAAGACCCACAAGTTTAGCAAATGAGAATGCTTATGCTTGGCTTGGTGTTGATATACTTGTGTTTGGGTGTTGAGAATTTAGTGTTTGTGGCTTTGGCTATGGGGATTTAAGAGTTTTAAGAGAATGAAGATGGGAGGAAAAGCTTGAGGTTTGAAGGCTATGGTGTTTATAATTTGGAAGGAAGGAAAAGGTTGGAGTTATGCTTGGTGAG